AGAGATTTCACTCAGCATAATGTCCTCCAGGGTCATTCATGTTATATAGTTTTTTATGAGTTCTTTATTTTTCAGTTCTGCATAGTATTCCATTGTGTGAATATACCATAGTTTTTCTATCCATTCATTTGTTGATGGGCACTTGGGTTGTTTCCATCTCTTTTGTGAATAACGCAGCAATAAACATGAGTGTGCAATACATCTGGCTGGGTGGCAGCTTTTTTTTTTTTAGGGTATACTTCTAGTAGTGAAATTCCTGGGTCAAATGGTATTTCTATTTCCAAATTTTTGAGAAAGCGCCATACCGCTTTTCATAGTGGTTGCACCATTTTACATCCCCACCAGCCGTGAATGAGGATTTCAATCTCTCCACAACTTTGCCAGCATTTGCTGTTTGTTGCTCTGTTGAACTTTGTTGTTGTTACTGGGGTGAGATGATATCTCATAGTTGTTTTGATTTCCATCTAGGGAGTGCTAGGGATTTTGAACACTTCTTTATGTGTTTCTTTGCCATCTGAATGTCTTCTTTAGTGAAGTGTCTGTTCATATCCTGTACTCATTTTGCAATTGGGTTGTTTACCTTTTTGTTGAGGTGCTGGAGTATTCTACAAATTTTAGATATGAATCTCTTATCAAATATGTCATTACTAAATATCTTTTCCAAGTCTGTGTGTTTCCTTATTACACTTTGGAGACGTTTTTTGATGTGCATAGGGATGTAATTCTTAGAAAGTCCCATTCATCTATTTTATTTTCTCCTGGTTGTAGGATTTTCAAGATGCTTGGGAGACTGTTCCTATTGTGGATTAAGTTTTAGAGTTCTTCCAAGCTTTTCTCTGATTAAGTTTATAGACTTTGGTTTCACTCATAGGTCCTTGATCCACTTTGAGTTGTTTTTTGTGTATGGTATGAGGTATGGGTCTTGCTAGAGTTTTCTAGAGATAGTTTTCCAATTCTGCCAACCCCATTTGTTAAAGAGGCTTTTATTTCCCACTTGACTGATTTTGTGTCCATGTCAAAAATCAGTTGACCATAGGTAGATGGGCTGATCAATTTTATTTCACTGATCTATTTGTCCGTCACTGTACCAGTACCGTGCTGTCTTGATCTACATGGCTGAGTAGTAGGATTTGAGATCAGGGAGAGAGATGCTTCCTGCTTTGTTTCTCTTTTTAGAAGTGCTTTGCTTATTCAAGGTCTCTTTCCATTCCATATAAAATCGGAAATTACCTTTTCTGTTTCATTGAAAAATGGAACTGGTATTTGTGTTGGGACTGCATTGAACTTGTACACTGCCTTTGGTAGAACTGTCATTTTCACAATATTACGTCTTCCTATGCATGAGCATGCTATATTCTTCCAGTTCTCTCATGCCTCATTTGTTTTATCTGCCTTGTCTTTAATTGACTTTTTAAAATGTTTCTCTTGGCTTTTGCTTGCAGAGTCCTGTAGTTCTTGAAGTACATCTTTCACCATTGAAGTAATTCAATCATTGCTCTTTTGAATCCAATCAGAAAATTCCACCAGATTTTCTGCATTTTGTGCTTTCATATTTTTTGAGGGGAGGGTGTGGCATCTTGTTTTTATTTTGTATAAGGTTTGAGGTAGTCTGCTTCTTCTGTGTCATTGCTATGGCAGAGTTTTTCATGTCTGGGCCTTAGCGAGCTCTTGGTCTGAAAACCTTGGCTCAGGAGCTCAATGCTTCTGAAAAGGGAAGGGCACATCACCCTGCCTGGATTCTCTCTGATCCATTCACTCAAGGGAAGACTTGCTTCACCTGGGAAGAGAGAGTTGGTCAGGCAACTACTACAGCTCCACAGGGTCCAAGGGGTCTGCAGCTCAAGTACTAACTCTGGAAGGGGTCAGGGTACCAAGGTAGTGTTCAGGAAGGAAAATGGCCTCTCTTATGATACTGGTGCTCTTGATGTAGGACAGTGTGGAGGTTGTCAACAGGGCAGTGTTAAAATTGCTCAGCATTTCCTAAGTTGAAGGAATTAAAGAACAAATTTAAGCCTCGAGTTACAATACTTAAGGATGCTGAGGGCAGAAAGCTAAATGATCCAGGAGGCACCAAAAGAAGATGAGAGGAGTACATGGGTTACTATACCAAAAGAGAACTGACTAACATAGAAGAATTTCATGAAACAACATACGATGAAAGAGGAAGTTCAAGTTGCTCTGAAGAAATTAGCAAGAAATAAAGCCCCAGGAATTGATGGAATACAAATTGACATATTTCAAAGAACAGATGCTGCCCTGGACGCACTCACCAGGTTATGCCAGGAAATCTGGAGGATAACTACATAGTCAGTTGTCTGGAAGAGATCTATATTTATTCCCATTCCAGAAAAAAGGGTGACCCAAATGAGTGTGGAAATTATCGAAAGATATCACTGATAACACACACAAGCAAGATCCTGCCCAAGAATATCTAGAAATGACTGGAACAGTACATCAACAGAGAACTGCCAGATATGAAAGCTAGGTTTAAATGAGGCCATGGCACTAGGGACATCAAAGCCAATGTTAAATGGATCTTGGTTGAAAGCAAAGAGTGTTAGAGAAAATTTATCTATGTTTCAGTGACTATGAAAAAGCATTTGAAAGTGTGGATCACAATACACTGCGGTTAACCTTGAGAAGAATGGGAATCCCAGAACCCTTAATTGTGCTCATGTGAAATCTGTAGTTGGACCAAGAGACAGCTGTCAGAACAGAGCAGGGAAACACTGCTTGGTTCAAAATCAGGAAAGGGTATGCCAGGGATGCATCCTATCTCCATAACTTTTCAATCTATATGCAGAACAGATCATTAGGGAGGCTGGAATTTATGAGAGGAATGTGGTATCAGGATTGGAGGAAGACTCATCAACAACCTGCATTATGCAGATGACACCACTTTGCTTGCTGAAACTGAGGATGATAGGAGGCATTTGTGTAGAAGGTCAAGGATTGCAGTCTTCAGAATGGATTGAGGCTCAACAGCAAGAAAACAGATTCTCATAACTGAGCCAATTGGCAGCTTCATGATAGAAGAGATTTGAGATTGTTAACAATTTCAGCTTGCTTGATTCCACAATCAACACTCTTGGCACCAGCACTCAGGAAAACAAAAGGCAAACTGCACTGGGAAAGTCTGCTGTCTGGTATCTCTCTAGAGTACTAAAGAGCAATGATGTCAGTCTGGGGACTAAGGTGCTCCTGACACATGCTACGGTTTTCACAATTACTTGTTATGCATCACAGAGTTGGACAAGGACTAAGGATGACAGAAGAAGAACTGATGCCTTTGAGTTGTGATGATGAAGAAGACTCTTGAGCATACTGTGGATTGCCAGGAGAACAAGTCAGTGCTGGAGAGGGTGAAACCAAGCACCTCCCTGGGGACAAGAATTCTGAAGCTCCATAGCACTTTGGACAAATGGCCAGAAGAAGGACATCATGCTTGGAAGGGTGGAGGAGAAAGCTCAGGAGGGCAAGACCGAGGATGAGATGGATCGACTCAGTGACTGGTGAAATGGGATTGAGTCTGTCGGAGATACTGAGATTGGCTGAGGATAGGGCAGGGTTCAGAGCTTGTTTTACATAAGATCGCTATGAGTCACAGGTGACTTGATGACACTTAACACCAACACAACTGGATACTTTTTGGGCATATTGCAAGGAGAGGGACACCACGCTTGGAAGCATGGAGGGACAGTGCAAAGGCGAAAGACCCTGGAAGAGATGGACTGACTCAGTGATCGGGGTAATGGGAGTAGGGGTGTCAGAGACAATAAGGCTGGCTCAAGATGGAGAAGAGTTCAGAGGTATTGTACATAGGGCTGCTATGAGTTGCAATAGACTCTACAACACATAAAAACAACCACAAAACAACAATCATACTGCCAAGTTATTCAGTAAAACACTAACCCAGGTGTTGCTGTGAAAATATGGTTAACATTGACAAGCCCTTATGATGCAGTAGATAAAGTACTTTTCTGCTAAACAGACGAGCAGCAGTTAAAACTAACAGTTTGCTCTGTAGAAGAAAGATGTCAGTCTGCTTCTATAAAGCTAAATAGGCTTGGAAACCCTATGGGGAATGTTGTTATGAGTCAGAATTGACTTGAGAACAATGGGTTTGGGGTTGGTTTTTTGTTTAGCATCTCTCACCAGTTGCTTTTAAGGAAAGGAGATTACTTTCCATAATGTAGTTGGGCATAAATCAGCTGAAAGGCTTTAAAAGTAAGCTAAGATGTCCTACAGGAAGAAAATATTCTGCCTCAAAATTGCAGTAGCAATTCTTGTCCAAGAGTTCTAGCCTGCTGCATGACCGCCCTACACATGTCAAGCATAGCATCCTTTACAATTGTATAAGCCAATCCTTTTATAGAAACTTGGGGGGAGGGGGAATTCTACCTCTCTTGTGAGGGAGCTCTTACAGCCTAGTGAGTAAGGAGTTACACTGCCAACCCAAAGGCAGGTAGTTTGAATCCAGTAGCTATTTAATGGAAGAAAGATGGGCAATATTTTCATGTGTGATTTGTAGCCTCTAAAAACCTGCTGGAAGTCAACTATGAGTTGATTCTAACTCTACCCATATAACAACAAGAACTCTCTGGAGAATTCTTGTTTATACACTGTTTTACTTCTACAAACTTGCTTTTTTTTTCCTTTATAATTTTTTTACGTTAAATGACCACAGTTAACACTCAGAGTTTCTTCATTAGCACTTAGAGTAACAAGCTAAATGCTTCAAGTCTTTCCTTGATTCAGGGTTTTCATTTACAAATACTCTTAGACCTCTTTTCTTCACTTTTAAAATTTTTTTTATTATACTAGTTTATTTACAAAATGTGAATACTTTGTTTTTAGGACCAGATTCTTTTCTCACCCACCCATTAAATTGTACAACCAGTTGCTTCTTAAAAAATACATTTCAAAAGAGAATTAAGTTCAAAGTAATTGATCTTTCTAACACCTAGAGAACATAATTTTTAGTTGAAAAAATATCTAACCTTGTAATTTTGCTTCAATTCCTTCTTTGTTCAATCCACATGCAAAGCCTGCATACAACATCAAAAATTATAAAAATAAAATAGAATAAATTTAATTCCCCTTAATAGATTTAGTTTATATACCAATTAAACAATAGTCTTATTAAATATGATATTGAAAAAAAGTGTTTCATGAATTTAAACAAAACCTTAATGTTGTTGTTGTTGTTATGTGCCGTCGAGTCGCTTGCGACTCATAGCGACCCTATGTACAACAGCCCTAAACTCTGCTCTGTCCTGTGCCAATCGCACTGTCTCTGACACTCCCATCCCGATTATCCCAGTCACTGAATCAATCCACCTCATAGAGAGCCTTCCCCTCCTGCGCTTTCCCTCCACCCTCCCAAGCATGATGTCCTTCTCCAAGGACCGGTCTCTCCTCACAACATGTCCAAAGTATGTTAGACAAACCCTCAGAATCCTTGCCTCCAAGGAGCCACCTGGTTTGACCCTTTGCAGGACAAATCTGTTTGTTTTCCTAGGTATTCTCAATACTCTTCTCCAGCACCACAGCTCAAAGGCATCAATTCTCCTTCTATCCTCCTTGGTCATTGTCCAACTCTCTGATGTACAACAAGTGATTGCAAAGACCATGGCATATATCAGATGCACCTTACTCTCCAGAGAGACACCACTGCTCTTCAGTACTTTGGAGAGGTCCCTAACAGCAGCTTTTCCTATAGCAATATGCCTTTTAATTTCCTGGCTACTGGTGCCAAGAGTGTTGACTGTGGAGATAAGCAAACTAAAGCTGTGAACAATTTTATACCTAATATTTGAGTAATTTAAATTATAGCTCAATAAAAAACCCCAAACATTACTAATAAAGTAATGAGAAAGAAATGAAAATTAATTTTTAATTTTAAGAAAGAAAAAAGGTATTTGCGCCTCTCATTCTGGACTGTTGTCATGCAAATAATAACTAATTATATCAGACAGTTCTTTCCCTCATCTATTTAAATGGGTGAGGGGAGGGAAGAAATTGTGCAACAATGAAAGAATCTTTTTAAAGAGAAAAGTGAACTAGAGGGGTAGAGAAGAAAATGTACAACAATGAATGAATGGAAACACAAGTTTTCTGTAAACTTCTGTTAAAATATCAAAAAAATAAAATAATAATAAAAACCTGAAAAAATTAAAAAAAAATTATTACTTCTTCAAGTCAAAGTAACAAACCATAATGAGATGGATTTTTCAAGGCTCTGATATAAAGCAATGTTGATCGTATCCATTCCAAAGCAATATTCACATCTGTGATGGTATGCAATACTATTTCTGCATTTAAATGTTCAATAAGATGTCTGTGCAAACTAACAGGGAAAAACATTGCATTAGTAATATATATTTCAAAATTGTAACTCTTAATTTCAAAACTTTAGTAATTTATATATTCATTACTACTTTAAGAATTCATAAAAAATAAGCTAATATAAAAACATATAAGAAATTTTAAAATTAAGCATATTCTACTGTTAAAAAGGATTAAAATTCTTCTCTACTCTATTGTTATGTAAAACAGATTACAAGAACAATACAACCAGATATAGTACTGAAAGGTCTCAGATTGCTTATCTCTCTATAATTAAAAAAAATTAAAGAAATGGAGAAATATTACTCCTCCTATTAAAAAGATCCAGATTTCCTCTTAATTGCATGTTAAGTAAGAAACACAGTTGAATAAAACAATTTTGTTATCTTTTCTTTTTTGACAATTACACTTCTTTTGTATGGATTAAACTGTGCCCCCAAAATTATATGTTGTAAATTTTACCTAGGTGTGGGTGGTTATATTCAATTTGGGAATGTGCTATCATTGTCATATTAATGAGATAGGATTAGTATAGGTATGTATGTCTTAAATCAATCTCTTGAGATATAAAAGAGATTAAGCAAGCATTCAACAGAAGTAGAAACATGCCAAGGTACATGAAATTCATCCAGGAAAAGCAGCTCAAAAAAGGAACGGATCCTCCTCTAGAACTTACAGAGGAAGGAAGACTTTTCACGTTGCTGACACTCTAAATTTGAATTTCTAGCCATAAGGGAGCTCTGGTGGCTAAGTCGGTATGGAGTTGCATTAACCTCAAAGCTACTTTTACTATTCCCACTGCCATTGAGTCCCAGGAGGAGTATGAAACAGCCTCTTCCCATAAAGATTACATCCTGGGAATAAATAGGAAATGTCTACATTGCCTCCGTGGCCTGGCGGGTAAAGAGAAGCACTGGCAAGCCAAAGGCATTTAGTTCAAAGCTACCATTGAGGAAAGATGCAAAAAAAAATCCCCATTCTATTTACAGCTTCTGACAACCTGTTAGAGGGACAGATATGGGATGGTTCTGACTTGACCGCAATGGAAGAGAGAGCGCTTCAGAGAGACTGTTGGACGAACTACAAATGGCAAAGAATATGCTATACACAGAAAACAGAATAAAGGATATACATCTGTTATCCTCCAAGACAAGAAAAAGACCATCCCTGGCACAGCTTGAAGATTAGCAAAAGATCTGCAGAAGATTAGGACTAGCACACGTAGCAGAGCTTTCATAATATCAAAGGGTGGTGTCATAGTCTTCTAGGTTGTAAAGAGTTGGATCTGAGTTCTGGAATGTGGGGCTGCTGTTAAATTGTGCCAGGGGGATAGGACCACTTACTTAAGCTGAAGAGGTGAGACTGTCATACCCAAAGGGCAAAAGAACACAGCCTGCTGAGGTTTAAGAGAGCAGAACAGCTACTCAAATGGACTCAGAGAATAGGGCCACTGTGGTTTAGTGAGTTATACAATATGACTTTTACATCCATTGGCTTTGAGTTTCACCATGTGACTGGCTAGGATGGCTGAAATGTTAGGTGTTGATAACTTGCCAATAATGTAAACAGCACCTTTTGGGTAAGAACATATAAATAGGGCATGTAGACTCCTAATGATAGATTGATCAGTTCTGCCATCCTACCAGGCTTAAATTGAGCAGGTTTAGAGGCAGAAAGTGAGACTCTCACTACTGTTAAGAAAGAAAAGACAGAGAATGCAGTGTATCCTCTGGAGCAAAGATAACTGAGCAAGATGAAACAAGACTAAAGCAGCAATGACAGCAGTAGAGGTGGTAGAGATTCACAAACAGGTATGACAAGACAGAGCTGAACACAATCTGCCACCCCTTGGAGCCAGCACTGATCACACTGGCCTAGACTTACTGGCAGACTGTGAGTAGGGGCATGGGAGTAGATAATTGGCAAAACTAAAAAAAGATGTTTTTAACATATGCTTGAGTGCATAGTAGGGCCCAGAGAGTTGAGGCCAAAGGTCTGAGAGAGGCCTGCCTGAGAAGAAGCCTGATTAAGGAACTGCATCCCAAGTGTTTCTGACCTGAATTGTAACCTGTTATTTTAATAAACTCATAATTATACGTATTATCTGTGAGTTCTGTGAAGCCATTGTAACAAACTAGTTAATCTAGCAAAAGAGTATGAAGAGTAGTGAGAGGGATGGTTGGTGCTAGAAATGACAGAAGGCGTATGAGTTTGGGGACATATCTGGGCCTCACTGTGACACTGATATTCTTGATGGGATTCGTCTCCCTTATAGAGTTAGTTAATGGAGATAAAATTCTGTCAAGCCCATGCCAGCCACACTGTTTTTATAGCCAGCTTAATTTGAAGGTTACTGGATTAGAAGGGATAGCTGAAAAAAGTGATCAATGAATGAATGGAAATAAAAAATCTCTGTAAATGTTCATTAAAACTAGTGAAATAAAATTTAAAAAAAAAAAGGATAGCTGAAGCTCAGAATCAAGTGGTCTTTACCAGAAAGCTAATGTGACCAACAACCAGATTCTGGAGCACAGAGCTATTACTGTATGGTCTCAGAGAACTGAAGATTATTATTTTAAAGCCTTGAAAGCTATTAGTTTTGTTGGCTTTTAGAGTTGTTTGGTGTCCATTATCCCTTCTTTCCTTCCAATTTTTTCCCATTTGTAACAAATATATGTACTTGAAGCCTGTTCCAACACTATACTTTGGAAATTGAAAACCCATAATCTTGATTTCAAATATTTGCAAATATAGAGAAATTTTATACCAGGATGGAATATGCCTAAAGTCTTAGCCATAGTTAAAGGATTCAGATGATGAGATTTTAGACTTGAAACTGATTTAAGACTTTTGATGTAATAGAGTAAATGTGTTTCCAAGTGAGAAAGATTGAAACTTGGAGAGGTCAATGGTTAGAATTTTATTTTTAACTATGCTTCCCAAAACTGTGGTGTAAATCCTAACACCTATGCCTCTAGTTAAAATCCCCTTTGGGAATGTGTTGTCTTTATAACAAGACATAATTAATATAGGGTATCAGTTAAATAAGTATCTTCTGAGATATAGAAGAGATTAACAAGCAAAAAAAAGTAGAGACAGAAAGAGACAGGGCAAGCCACCGAACATTGTCTAGGAGTAGAAGGTCAAAGAAACAAGGACTTTTCCTCCATAGCTAATGGTCAGAAATTCTCCCCTTAGCATCAGCACTTTGAATTTGGACTTGTAGTCTTCTAAACCATGTCTACTTGTTAAAATCATCCATTTGTTTTCTTTCTGCTATAGGATCTCTAGATATCTGAAACATTCTTAAATGTATATATTTTATTAAGAGTGGTTGAATAAATTCAAGAAAATATTCTTAGGATGCTCTAAACCAATATCCAATAACACTATTAAAAAGAAAAAACATCAGACTATTTTGTCATCTTCTTGAAATAGTTTCTGTATTACCTGCTTTCTACAGTGTCACTACAAGCTAACATCTGAACATACTTCTCTCTTGTACTTAGTCGAGTCATAATAACTGCAGTAGCTGTACTGTCAAACTGAAAAAAACACATAGAGAAATTTAGTAAAGAAAGTATATTGATACCAGTTCTCTTCAACAGGTCAAGAATTTCACTTCATATTAAAAGATTACTTTGCTTCCATCAGTAGGAATTGTTATCTGAAAATTTAATTTCAAAATCTTGTAAAAATGTAGTTATAAATATTATCTCTTTCTCTGAAGTCTTTTGTTGCTTCCTGCATCATTCAAGATTTTGCCCCTAGAATCCTTCAGTATTGCAATTTAAGAAACAGTAGTATTGAAGGAAGAAGTTCAAAGTACTAAGGGCACTGGTAAAAAAAAAAAATACATCAAATATTCACTTTCCACAAGAAAAGGTGTGTCATCTGCATAAGGCAGGTTGTTGATGAGGCTTCCTCCAACCCTGATGTCATATCCTTCATCAGAGTCCCAGCTTCTCGAATGATTTGCTCAGAATATAGATTGAACAATAATGGATAAAGAATACAAACCTGATGCACACCTTCCTAATTTCAAACCACTCACATCCTACTGATTTACTTGTGTTCCCTGTTCTGTTCTGACAACTCCTTCTTGGTGTATGTATAGATTTCACATGAGCACTAAGTGTTCTGAGGTTCTCATTCTTTTAAATGTTAGCCATAATTTGTTTTGATCCACACAGTCAAATGCTTTTGCACAGCAAATAAAACACAAGTAAACATCTTCCTGGCACTTTCTGCTTTTAATTAAATCTGACATTAGTAATGATATGCCTTGTTCCATAGCCTCTTATAAGTCCAGCTTAAATTTCTGGCATTTTTTGGTGGATGTATTGTTCCAGCCATAAAAAAAAAATTTTAATTGGTTTTCATGCGATAATTTGTTTTACATTGTGTTTCATTACCTTCATCGTGTTCTACACAATCTCTCTGTACATCCAGCCATTTAAAATAGTCTTCAACAAGATTTTACTTGGGTTTTTTTATGTGCCATTGAGTTGCCTGCCCTATCCTGAGCCACTTTCATTTGCATGTGATATTAATATTGTTTGGTAATTTCCACACTGTTAGATCACCTTTTTTGGAGGATGAGAACAAATATGATAATTTCCACACTGTTAGATCACCTTTTTTGGAGGATGAGAACAAATATGAATCTCTTCTAGTCAGTTTGCAGGCATCTGTTCTGCAAATTTCTTAGCACAGATTTATGAGTACATTCAGAACTGCATCTGTTTTTTGAAACACTTCAGTTGGTATTCCATGAATTCCTGGAGCCTCCCCGCCCCCCCATGCCCTCAGCTCACTGAACATCTTCCTTCAGAACTACTGGTTTACTGGTTCATGAGTTGCAATATTCAAGGATTCTAGGAGCAAAATCTTTAATGGCACATGAAATATCAAAAGAATATAAGAGGAATACACAGAATCACTGTGCCAAAAAGACTTGGTAGACAATGAACCATCTGAGGAAATAGTATAAAACGAAGAACAAATGATAACCCATCTCAGCTCACTGATGCCTAAGATGTCTATCTTTATTTTTGAAAACTTGCAATTTTCCTAGATTCACAATCTGTATAATCCATGTTCCAATTATTTTCCGTTGTTTCTCCTCATTTTGAGTCTTGCCACATCAGTATATTATGGTCTTTCATTGAGTGAAAACTTTATTACAACTATATTATTCTAGTAGACTCTACTTAGAGGAAGCAGCTCTCCCTCAGTTGTACTGTGAGTACCTCCCACTCTGATGGGCTTATCTTCCACCACCATATCCAAAATTTTCTTCCATTATCCGAAGAGTTTTTAAAGGCCAATTAATTCAGAAGTAGATGGCTAGTTCTGCTTCTTAGTCTGAAAGCTCTATTAAGTATCCCTGCTAATATTTTAAATACTAGTGGCATAGCTTCCAGCATTACAGTAACATGCAAGCCACCACAGTATGGCAAACTGAAAGAGCAGTGGCAGTAGCTTACATATAATTTATCCTATAAAAATGATAAATTTGCATACGTTCTTAAGACTCTTTGAAAAGATTGTCTTCCAAAATGTTCTAGTACCTATTGAAATAACTTCATTATTCATGTATTTGTCAAAGTAAATTATGTTCTGAATTGTGTATAGTCTGGTTTATCACTGTCATAATAGTCCTTGGGGTTATCTACTAACATTTAGTGTCAGGAAAAAGTATATGATTTCTGCAATGCATAATGAAAACCTGTTCCACTCAAAATCTCAATAGTATCCCAATCACAAAACAAAACTTAAAACAAAGAAAATCGCTTAATTGTACCCATTTGTAAGTCTATCTCTTCTTCAACCAGTGGGAATTTAGAGAAAGTGACAGCAGTTACATTCTGCTTCACTTGTATTATGTAGTTAGAACACTTTTTTCCCAGTTGCATTTAGTTTTAAATAACACAGTATGGAATTCCAAACATTTGTTTACTGAAAATAATACTTAAAAGTAGTTTTGTTGTTATGGTTTTTACAGTGCATTTAACGTGACTCACAAAAGTAAAGTTTCAGTCACTTACTTGAGGCCGACCAGCTCTGCCAATCATCTGTAGAATATCTGTTTCACTGTATTCTTCAAACATTCCTCCAACATAATGCATTGTTGACTTTATAATTACCAGATGAGCAGGCAAATTTACTCCCATAGCTAAAGTACTGGTAGTAACTGCATCAAATTAGGAAATATTCCATTAAAACCATAAAAATTATTGTTTCTAAAAGACACTTTCTCTTTAAGCCCCCTACTCTTTTATATTATAAATCTAATAAAATTCATATAAAGATAATTTAGAACCTAAAATAATATCACATTTTAAAACAAAACTATGGAATTTTTACTTTTAAATATCCAGTAACATGATAAATAACAAGGCATTCCCAAAGAGTTTATTCCCACATGTATATGCATGACTAGTTTATATTCATAGGAAAAAAAAGCAGAAATAAATTAGAATACTAGAAGTTTTTCTTTTTCACTCCATCTTTTTTTCCAAAATATATACTCACAAGAATGTGTTTTACTTACAAAGAACTGGAATATCTCCAACAGTAAAAGCTCCTTCAACTATTTTTCTATCTGATAATTCCATACCAGCATGATGATAGGCAATACCTTCTATGAAGATATCTATAATAGAAAGTAATAATCTAATAGTTATTACTAACATTTCATTATTAACTGTTCCTTTTTAGCTATACTTGACATTATAAAGATATCTATAAACATACCTCTCAGTTTTGATTCTTTTATAGAATTTGCACACTTGTGTATCCTATGTGAAAATATAGTAACATTATTAAGAATTATTCTTGATAATGTCAGAAAACTCAAATGTATTAAGTTCTAAAAAATTAAATATCTTTTAATATATTTAATTTCATGTTTTATTATCTTAAAATTACCTTAAGAGGAATGTAAATCCAAAAACACTTATTTATATCTAGACTATGGAGCTTTTGTCCAAATGGAACAAAAGAACACTGCACAGTTTAAAATCAGAAAGGGTGTGCATCAGGGTTGTATCCTTTCTCCATACCTATTCAATCTGTATGCTAAGCAAACAATTAATGAAGCCAGATTCTACGAAAAAGAACGTAGCATCAGGATTGAAGACTCCTCACCAATGTGTTATGTAGATGTCACAACTTTCCTTGCTGAAAGAGGATATGAACTAAAGGCTGCAGGAGGCCAAGGACTACAGCCTTCAGTAAGGATTACTTCTCAACATCAAGAAAAGAAAGATCCTCATTATAGGACCAGGAGTCAACACTATGATAGATGGAGAAAAGATTGAAGTTGTCAATTATTTCATCTTGCTTGGATCAACATTCAACACATTTGGTACCAGCATCCAGGAGACCAGGAGACATATTACATTGGGCAAGCTGCTGTCAGAGACCTCTCAAAAATTCTGAAGAGTAATTATGTTGGTTTGAAGACTAAGGTGCCCCTGATTCAGGCTATGGTCTTCTCAATCACCTGCTATGCATCAGAGAACTGGACAATGAATATGGATGACAGAAGAACTGATGCCTTTGAGCTATGGTGTTGGAGAAAAGTACTGAACATTCCATGGACTGTCAAAACAATAAGCTGATGTGTCTTGGAATGTGCAACCAAAGTGTTCCTTGAAGGTAAGATAATCAAACTTCATCTTTCAAACTTTGGATATGTAGCTAGGTGTAAAGGGACATCATGCTTAGAAAGATGGAAGGTCAGCAAAGGAGAAGACCACCCCCAATGGCATGGTATGGTATTTCAGCAATGGGCTTTAATGTGTCAGAGATGATGAGGATGGCACAAGATAGGGCAGGTTGTAGGTCAGCTGTTCATAGGGTCACTATAAGTCATACTCAATGGTACCTAACAACAACAGTTAATAAATGGTAATACTGAAACTTAAAATGTACCTAAATAATTTTTTTAAAAAAACAATTCAGTAGATATAATCATCTAGGAGTATGGAATGAGAAAGAATAAACCAAGATTGGGGCATTGAGAATGCAAACACTTAAGAATTTGATAGAAGAGGCAGAAAGGGGAGAACAGGAATCTAAAAAAGTGGGAGAAAATGAGAATAGGGTGATAAAGAGAATCTAGAGTTTTAAAAGAATGTGTGAGTGGTCAAACATGTTTGATGTTCCTAACATATCAATTAGCAAGAGTGGTTTTAGCAATAGATATTGGTTGAAAATGAGGAAAGGAAGACAGTAATAGAGATCACCTTTAAAGAAAGATGCTATAAAATAAAAATAGAATCATAGCTACAATGAGATTCAAGATCTCATTTAATTGTCATAGATTATTATCTTTCTCTGACAGATGAGAAAACTGAGGCGTGCTGTTAAGTGCCATCAAGTCAACTATGACTAATCATGACCCTGTAACAATGTATCTGAACCCTACCCTATCTTGTGCCATTCTCATCACCTTTGACATATTCCATTCGAGTCATTGTGTCAGTCCATCTCATTGGAGATCTTCTCCTTTGCTGACCCTAAACCTTTCTAAACATAATGTCCTTTTCTAAGGACTGGCTCCTTCTAAAAATATGCTGAGAGTATGTAAGACAAAGTTTTCTATCCTTGTCTCCAAGGAGCACTCTTGGCTGCATCCTTTGCAGGACTATTTGTCTGTCCTTTTGGCAGTCCACGGAATATTTTGCACTCTGCTCCAACACTCTACTCAAAGACACTGAATCTTCTTCTGTCATCCTTATTCAACTTTCAGATGCATAGCAAGTAATATTGAAAACATAATGGTTTGGATCAGGTACACTTTAGTTTTCAAAAGGACATTTCAGCATTTTAGAGAGGTCTCTGATAGCCAACTTTGCCAATGCAGCATGTCTTGATTTCATGGCTGCTGTTGCCAAGGGTGTTTGTTGATTATGAATCCAAGCAAGATGAAATCATTACCAATTTCTATTGCCTCTCCATATATAATGTTGTTAAGGAGGTGAGGAATTTTGTTTCTTGATGTTGAGATATAATTCATATTGAAAGCTATTGTCTTTGATCCTTTCAGCAAGCATTTCAAAGTCTCCTCACTCTCAGTAAGCAAAGTTTTATCACCTGCACATTGCAGGTTATTGATGAGTCTTCCTCTGATTCCAATGCCACGTTGTTTTTCACATAATCTACCTTCTTGAATTATTGTTTTTCTGCAGACAGATTGAATATCTTTGGAGAAAAGAAACAGCCCTGATGTATGCCTTTCCTGATTTTAAATCATGCAGTGTTCCTTTGCTCTATTTGTACCACAGTTTCTTGGTGCAGATATAGGTTTTATACAAACCTAATTAAATGTTTTAGGATTCACACTCTTCTCAATGTCAAACATAACTTGTCTTTATTATATTTATTTAATAGATGATAAATTCAAGGCTTACAGAGGTCAAGAAACTTGCCCAAGGTTAAAGGACTAATCTACTTTATCGCATCTAAATGATCCCTAAAAAGTCTATTGACTTCCCCCAAAAATTAAAAAATATACCTCTGTTTCTGTTCTATTGTCATCATAAATTTAGCATCTTTCACAAGAATAGAAGCAGCTTGTTGCACACCCTTCCTTGTTGCACAAAACTGAAAATTAATAATTTTTTATTAATCATGGTAAAATTGAAACATTACACTTAAAAAAAAAAGCAACCAACAATCCATACCACAAGTGTAGGTTTCTGATCAGAGTATGTTTGTATAACACTGGCAATTTTGTAATTGAGAGTTAAGTCAAACTTAAACTCAGTTTGGTTATTACTACAGGGAAATCCAAGGACCACTTTTCGAAGTTTCACTGGTCTGTGATTCTCATCCATCTTCAGACATACAGCAGGTCTCTCTCCATTGGAAAGCCACTCTGCAATCTTAAAATAAGAAAAATGAATTTTCAATTTGTCAGTAAAGTTCTTTGGCTAAAAATAGCCCTATTATAGATTACGTTATTTTAAAAAAGTCAAGGTATAAAGTATTTAATAAAACAGTGTTATTCAATATTACATATTAGTTAATACTATTCTATTCATAGACAATGTCAAATAGATCTTGGCTGAAAGAAGACAGTATAAGGGGAATGTCTGTGTTTCATTGCCTGTCCAACAGCATTTGACTGTGTGGATCATAAAAAAATTATGGCTAACATTGATAAGAATGGGAATCCCAGAGCACTTGATTGTGCTTATGTGATACCTATACCTGGACCAGGAAGCAGTCCTCAGAACAAAGCAGGGAAACACTGCATGGTTCAAAATCAGGAAAGAAATGTATCAGAGATGCATCTTGTCTCCATACCTTTTCAATCTATATGCTGAACTGATCATTCAGAAGGCTGGACTTTATGAGGAGGAATGTGGCATCAGGATTGGAGGAAGACTCATCAATAAAAACCTGCACTTTGCAGATAACCCAATCTTATTTGCCAAAACTGAGGAGGATCTAAAGCATTTGTTGCAGAATACCAAAGACTGTAGTGTACAATATGGACTGAAGCTCAACATCAAGAAAATAAAGATTCACACCACTGGGCCAACTGGCAATACTATGACTGAAAGAGAAAAATTGAGATTGTTAAACAATTTCAGCTTGCTTGAGTCCACAATCAACACTCTTGGCACCAGGAGTCAGGAAATCAAAAGATCAACTGCATTAGGAAAATTTGCCATCAAAAACTTCTCCAAAGTACCAAAGAGCAACTATGTCAGTCTATAGACTAAGGTGCACCCGATCTAGTCATTAGTCTTCACAATTACTTGCTTTGCATCAGAAAGCTGGACAATCACTAAGGATAACAGAAGCAGATAAAGGAAAATAATCCAATTGAATAACAGGCACAGGATATGAACAGACACTTCACCAAAGAAGACATTCAGATGGCCAACAAGCACATGAAGA